AGATCAACCTGTAGATAGACTGGGGGGTGGGGGGGGGGGGGGGGGGGGGGGGGGGGGGGGGGGCGGTGTTTAATCTGCCACTTGGAAATGGAATGCGTACATTAATAGATGATCCCGTGTAAATTTATTGTACATTTCTACCTGAATCCGCACCATTTTCATTTAACATATTCATCAACCAGAGTGATTAAATGATGATTAAATCTAAATTAAAACTGTAGCTCATTCAAAAACACTTGAAGTATAATACTGATTATATTACAGTGTAATAATCATCCCAGTCTAATTCCAGTAAGTAGTACCAAGGTGATCAGTATTCACCAAAATCCCCCCCCCCCGCACCCCATATTACCTAAAGACAGCTTTTCTGTTAGACCATATGACCTCTGGGTTCCTTTCCATTCCCTGAAGTCCAAAGGTCACACAGGCTTCCATCATCTTTGGGGCGACAGCTGCATTTATATGCACATGGCATATTTATATGGCACTTTCATTGAGTGCTGTTGATTTTTGTTGGATATTATTTACCTACAGGAATATAAACCCTATCAGTTCATCTATACGCCTTCACCTCTATCTTTGGAGCTGTTTCTCGGCAGTTCTTAATCGATACTGCTATCACACGTTGTTTTCGCAGGCGTATCTGTTTGCTTACATGCTGATTTAAGTGATTTTCAATCCACGTCCCATGCAGTTATGAATGGGACACACAGAAAAATCAGATAAATGACACAAATATAAACGCATTTGTCTGACATCCTCCATCCTTGTCCTGGTGCATCCCTGTACACTCTCTCTGTTCTCTGAGCAATAGGCTGATCTCATTTTATTCTGTCTAAGCTTTAGTGCTTGCTTTCTTAGTTTCCAGGACACTGTAAATTCTACATATATCTCTCCTTAAAATTAATTTTGACCTAAAAGCCCAATGACAAAGATATAGGGCAGATATTTTGCAGGGCTCGACAAATTAATTCGGCACAAATGCATGCAAAAAAGTGTTACAAGAATATAAGATGATGAATGATGTATTTCCATAACATAGGGGAATTACTTCATGGTTTTATGAAAATGGAAGGAAGGCAGAGCCGGTAGCAGAAGCGCAAATTCACTACAGGCTACAGGGCGAAGCTGCCGCTAATTTCTGTTCGTAATTCATAGTAGCATACAAGCAGCTAAAAATATGAGAATATTTAATATTAAAGAATATATAATGAATATCATGCTCATTCGCGTAAAGAGGCTCCGATAGTGGTAAGGCTTGGATCCCTTAAGTCGTAAATGGCTGGAAAATGTTATTAAGTCGATGCAAGAAATACGGAGCGTTTCTTTTTTCCTAGCAGAGGTACTGCAGAGGTGAAGGACACCGGCCGTTCACCGCCATGCTGCCGCTTCAGGTTCCGTGAGGACCCGCAGCGAAGCCCTTAAAGAAAGTGTTTAACGTTCGCCTGTAAAAACAGTGAATTTGCGCGTTTCTTCGGGTTCAAACTCCCAAGTGCCGTTCTGAGCTTTGCCTTACGTACATCGGGTCAAATAATTACGTTTCTTTGCCGTTAAGAGGAGCAGAACGTTTAGACACCGGATCTTAATGCTAGATTTTTACAAATCCATTTACGCGGTCAGATTTGTGGTAATATTTAGATCTTTGCAAACATTGAAAATCCGATAATGTCTAATGGTACTAAGACTAATATCTAAGGAAATCCAGAATTTAGACCGTTTCACCAGAAGTTTCCTTATGTTGTTTGATGAATAATTATGTTGATATTTATTCCAAACTTTTTGTGGAATGGTTTAACATTTGAAAAGCTGCTGATTTGATCTGATCTATGTAGCTCAAGTTCACAAAGGGGCCACAGAGAGTGTGACGGAGAAAAGCTGACGTTAAATATGAGCCAGGTGGAATTCCTCCCGTCCTAGTCATAAAAAGTCGCCGGGACAGTTCACAAATCAAAACGTGAAGCTTCAGGATTATTATTGTTATTGTACCTGTATACACACATTCAACGCGTCAACCTTCCCAGAAGAAAGAAACAAATGTGGAATTGAAAATATACAGATCAGTCTTTTAAATCGAGCTGCATGCCACAAGCAATACTCATCCGTTAAACGTTGTTTATAAACACTGGCCACCATCAAACACAGGCAAATAAATTAGCCAATCGCGTTCTCAGTGGCACTAATAAAAGCAAGAATTAATTTTAATGATCAATTCTGAATGCCTATTAATAGAATTAGTTTAGAAGTACCTACTTAGTTAAAAAAATAAATATATATTCACTGGATTTTTAAGATAGTGGATGGCAGTATCTTAATACTCAGTGAAAACGATTTTTTCCCCAAATGTAAAACCTAAAAAACGCAAAATGTGATTCCAAATATGCAAACACTCCTGTCTAATTTCTCCAGAAATTTTGCTGATTTAAATGTATATAGTGTGCCAATATATTTTTTTATGCCTGTCATACATGCGCTGCAACTTTAAATACTTCTCTGCTGCTATTACTAAGAATTATTTTGTTGAGTATTAATGCACTGTTTGGGCTATACCCCATGTTCCATTCAAAGCTAAAAACAGTTATAAACATATACTGCGACGGGGCTAGAGCAATCCACGCGAAGTATAGGCCTACGCTAATTATTAGTTCAGTGTTTGGCAGCATTTTTATAATTATCTTTAAAATACACAATGAAAAAAGGTTTCAGGCTTACTATCACCGAGTGGAAATATTTACAGAAAACTTCAGTGAGACACAAATGTCCCACAGCAGTCCATATTAGACGGTTGTTATACACAAGATGTCCCACTGTTTCATGTGAAGCTGCATAGGCCTCGTGCTGCACACACTGCAATTTATCGCAATTGATTTTAAAAATAACAAAAGAACAGTATAGGCCTATAACAGGGTACTTATGTTTAGGGATGTGCTTACATATGCTGACACCGGAGATCGCAACAGCGTAATTAGTAAAACATTTGCGTTATTAAACCGTTTAAGCGACCGGATTTATTGCGTATCATGCGGGTCCCACGCCCGGCTCGGGCGCCCATAAATGGACCGTGTTTTCCGTGCTACATCTGAGGCTGTGTTCAGCTGATACCCCCATCCATTACTCCACTGATATCTGGAGCCACTAAATGTATACAAACTATAAATTTGCTCTCCTCTCACTCTGCTTTTTTTTTTTTTAAGACGACACGTTTCTCTCCGCTAACATTCTTTAGTGAAAAGGCTTAGCGGAATTACATTAACCTTCTTATGAAAGGGTCTTGGAAGCCGGGCGATGTCCAAATGGTCATTTATCAAATACTTATGATTCCGATATTGAACAAATGGGTTATGTAAAGTAGCAGGATCTGACAAGGTGACATCGTTATCCTGTCTAAATGATACATAACATTAGTGTTTCGCTTAGATCGTCCGGTGTCCTCCATTAATTTGGCGTTTCTAACTCTTGGTAGACTCCGTTTTGTGAAATGTTTATTTTTCCTTTCTTGCAGAAACCAATAGCTCTTTTGAAGCTTCGAAGCTCGTGAAGCCGTGCTTTAATGTAAGATGAAGCATGATTGTTTTCAGAGGCTAATTTTATCATCACGCTGTAGCTACATCTGCCGAGAACTAAGGCCGCTCAGGCGAGTCACTGTTGAAATCAATATACTGTAGTTGTTTTCACATTACAAACACATTGTAATATAGTTTGAGGGTTTGCGTTATTTGATCTTTAAAAGTATATTACACTGACGTTGTAGGCCTATATACATAAAAGAAAAAGACGAATCAGAACTTTAATAAAAAATATATGTAAACAAAAGCCGACCCAGCGCGTCGTTTTAGCTTAAAGTCTGAGGGAGTGTAGTTTAAATAATCCATGATGACCGCATTTGCCCCATTACGGGTAATTCGAGGTATATTGATTTGTATATGACTGTGATTTTATCCCACTGAAGACTGCACGCATATATAGGCTACTAGAACAGTGTAAATTAGACCTTGTGTAGTAAATTTAAATATAGATTTGTTATTTCCTGTTCGGCCCACAAGCCGCCCTATTTTTTCTGAATGATTTTGATCGGAAGAGTATGAAAGCTATTACAGCCACGGTTTTATAATAACAATAACAATAATAAAAATAAGTATTATTATTATTAATATTATTATTATAATAGTTGTTGTTGCTGTTGTCTAGTTGCTTTGAAAATTCAAGTTCCCCACTAGCTTTGACATTGACTTATTAAGTTTGGGACAGTCAGGAAGTACAGAAATAAACTCAATCACCAGCGCGATCGGTCGCCTATCCTGTCCATCTTCCATTTCCATTTACACACTCAGTAGACGTGGGACCGTAATCGCCCCGTAAATAGAATAAAACCGTACCCATATCCACCACGAAAAAATTTAAGCACCATATTACATGTATTAGTGGTTAGTGGAAAACGAAGTCTTACATTAGATTCCTTAACTTTTGGCGAACGGTTCTTGAATTTCCCATAAAAGCATAAAAATCAACATACGCGTTTCATGCTCTTTTATAGGGTTCACAAAATACTAATATCGTCCAAGTATTATAAACTTTACAGTACAACTGTGACCGACTACTCTAGTGCACTACCCTGACGATTTTATGTAATAATAGTAATGACACTGGTAGATGCAGCTTTGGCAAAAGATACTTAAATAACTTAAAATTTCATACTTTATTTTTACACCTCTCCAACGGCATATTTAGTGTTGAAGCGTTAAACGTTAAGTCGCTTGTTTCAGGGTATACAGTCTTTTTGAAACCGAACGATAGTCAATTTGTTACAAATTCAAGGTGTTTGTCACTATACGCTGACAAACACAAACAACAAATAATGATAATTGTTATTAATATTATTATTATTATTATTATTGATAATAAATAACGAATATACTATTACTACTGCAAATAATAATGATGACTAGGCCTATATTAATAACAGCAACAATAATAGATACATCGAGGGATTGATACAATGTAAATTGCTGTTTTGACAGAAACTTTTAATGGAAATCATTAGGTTTTTACGAATACAATCTGAAAACAGTAAGAAACATTATGTACATTATTTTCAGTGCAAATAAGTTTGGACAATATATAATACACTTTTACGCTTATCAAAAATGGAAAAAAATCACATTTACAAAATAACATATTTAGGGGATTATTTTTGAAGGGAAGAGGGTCAATTACATGTGGAAAAAATAACAAATATATCGGGGTAGCTACCAACAGTCCTAAATAAAAATATGTCTTTGGGCCGCCTTCCAAGCAATTTTTCATAAGACGATTTTAAAATTACCCTTTTTGTTGAGTTCAATTTCGGACATTTCGATAGGCTTCATATTAAATACTTCACAGATAGAAATTACCTTCCAGGGTGCGACTAGCGCACCCTCGCTAGGACGCCGGCGCTTCCGTGGCCGCGCTGAGCGGCGCCGCCTCCTCAGCGCTGGCGGGGGGAGCCCCGTTCATGATGACGCTTCGCTTATTGTGTTCCGCAATGTCCACGTCACTGCGCTCCGGCGCCTCGTCCAAATCGCACTCACTCGCTTCGCTTTCGCACTCGGACTCCTGCTCCTTCTGCTCCCCTTCTGTCAGCGGTTTGTCGGACTGCTCCTTCTCCTTGTCTTTCTGAGCCTGGGCTTCCTTCGAGTGCCTCCATTTCATCCGCCTGTTTTGGAACCATACTTTCACCTAGAGAAGGGAAGTCGATTTAGTTCCCCAAGGACTACAGGAGAAGCAAGCTGGAAATAATGTGTTCGACTCCAGGAAACAGGCAGACTAAATACAAATAAAATAATGCACAATTTTGCCGAAATCTTTTAAGCTGTAGGCCTGTGTGGTCTTTCCTCTAGTTAAAAACGGATGATCGTGGATGCAGCACTGTAGTTAAAGCATACCCCCAAAATCGAAAAATAAAGTTCAAATAATATTGCCAAGGGGTACAACAATCAGATGAAGTGTAAAACGCAACGATAAACAGTGTATTTCCTCAGATATTGCAGCACACTGACCAAGAAACCAAAGTCTTGCTTAATCATGAAACTGGAATGTGGGTGTAAAAACAAACCCCTTCGCCTATTCGGGTTTGCACTTATTCGTTATGAACGACTTTCACTTCCTCGAAATTCTAGGCCAACATTTCGCAACCCCAATAAACTGATAACTCATTATGTTTCGGCATGTTTTTATTGCTGGGTGTGCCCAAAAGGCCCCACTTGCCATCGGCTGCCTAAAACAACGCGGAGACAAATTAAACATTTAATTTTTACAAAACAGCGCTCGCGCGTACAGTCCGCTAGGTCGCCCACAGCGACACCTTTTAACGTTCAATTTTCTTGCGCCTACCATTAAATGCAGAGCTGAGGAGCAAACATAGCCTACCTGCGCATCGGTCAGGCCCAGCATCGCAGCGAGCTGCTTCCTGTCAGGTTTGGTGACATACTTTTGTATTTCGAATCGTTTCTCAAGCCCTTTTCGCTGCAGGTTGGAAAACACTGCTCGTGACCAGGATCGCTTCCTTTTGTACGTCTGTGGCATCGTGTCTTTGGTAAGCACTGCGTACGGACCTGTTGAAACAAAACCAGAAAAATTCAGTGCAAACAGCCTCTATATTTCATTGCATTTTTTTTTTTTTTTTTGCATATTGCATTTTCAGTGCAAGTCAGCAGGGTCAGTGTAGGGTGTAGTGCGCTGTATCAACCACTGTCTCAGTCCCTACAATGATGTGCCAAGCAATCAAATATATGTTTTTAATTCTGTAGACCTAACTAAAGCCCGTGCTGGCAAGTTAAAATTAAATACAGAAAATCGGATCTACGTGGAGACACGGGAGGCGCTGGCCCACCTGGAAAGGTATCCTGTAACTGATGCTGTCCTGATTGCCTGGCCGCGCTGCCTAACGAGCTCATCATGGTGGGCGCGTCGCTCATCCTGGGTTCTAAGGGCGTATAGTACTGGCTTGTAGAAGGCGGCATAGAGAGATGGATCCCTGACTGACGGTTCGTGCTAACAATTGAAGTGAGATCTGTTACAGGACGAAAAGAAAAGGACGAAGAGGTTAAAAAAAAAAAGCGGCCGTATAAGCGGGATTTGGGAGTGCTGCCGTTTAGTGTTTCTCACCTTAAAAGTAAAAGGGGTGTAAAAAAAACGAGTGGCAGAAGTAGAAATAAACTGCATAATTGTTCTGGGGGGAGAGATGCCAAAATGTTTTGGTCATTCTATTACATGCATTTTCGTTCAGTGTGTCCCGCCTATTAAAACTCAAAAACTTCAGTTACACAGCTGCCAGAACTAAACATGACATAAATACTATTCTGAAGTTAATTTTAGGGCTGACGTAGCATAAACGCAATATGAAAAAATATGACTGACTCTCATTCAGGCATATAAATGAAAAATCTGACCAAGATTTGTATCTGTGTGAATCCGTTTCCTACCTCTTAAACTTGAAGTCTCTTTGGCTTTTGGGTCAAAGTCTGTAGATAAAATGCGATCAATCCCAAACTTTAGGTCTTTGCTTGACGGTGCAGGGGCTTGGGGAGAGTTCAGAGTGACTCGCGAAACAGAAGTTAAATGTAATCCGTGCCTGTGATACGGGGACGCAGAGCTCACCCTGGAGCCGAAAACACACGGCTCCTGGGTAACCGGGGAAGGGCGCAGGGGAGATCCAGAAGCGTGAACCGGAGCACGGGGACCCATATGAGCCATTACAGCGGAAGATCCAGAGATGTTTTCAGCGTCTCCGACGTGTAATATGTCAGCAATGCAAAAAGACGGCTTCTTCATCGAATCCAATGAAAAACCACTGGAGCAATACGCAGACCAAAGACTAAAATTAGAAGCATAAAACGGGTTGAGTCCGGCAGTATACATTCTACTAATATGTGTTACCCCGTGGTTAAACACAAACGGTGATAACAGAAAAATCCTGCATGGAAACGCAGATATTGTCGAAAACGGTAGATTTCTTTTTTAAATGGCCTGGGATCTTTCTCACAAGTATGGAACGTAAGCAGCTGGTCCAAGTAGTCCTCAGCAGAAGTTTCTGATCTTTAACTGATTGGTTACCCTCTGGCCAATGGAGGTGCAGCTTCAGCAGTACAACACGCCCCCAAGACATAGGGTTCTTGAGGGTTGAACTTTACCGGTGAAATTCTTCGTTGTCCGAATGAATAAATACGGCACTAAAATTATTATTATTAATACTATTATTTATTATTGTTGTTCTTTAACAACTACCAGGAATGTTACATTATAAAGACCAATTATATCACTAAATACCAGACTGTGGACTACCCTTTTAGTGTCTAAAATTTGGAAAAATAAATTACACGTATTTTTGCGAGCGACTCACGTTGTCTGAAACACCATGTATTGACATTTTGGCTAACAAATTAATTTAACAAACGACATGTTTATTACGAGTCTTTAGCCTAATATTGTACAAACACAGAGTTTAACGGGTTAACGGGTTAAAAAGTTGCCCAGTTATGAAGCACAGATCAATTATTTTTACGTGTAGCTTTGCAGATGATATTTTAGGTTCTAGGTGAATGCGTAGGTTATAAATTCAGTAATAGACTAATTTAAAAATGTGTTTTCAGTCGTCTAAGAGAATCCGAAAGCAATAAGTCTTTTAGAAAATATAAATATTACTGGAGAATCATTGTTCAGCTTTTGTACATAAATACGGCGAATAACCTATGTCATTGTTTGTATTTGTATGAAGGAGTTTTCTCTGAACATGTCCCGTGGTTCGCCCTCAAATTCCGTCTCATTCCGAGCTTGACCGCTGAGTACAGGAAACTCCAGTTCTAATAGATCCAGGTCATCCTGTTTTTAATGGGCTCTGATTCTAACTAAATGAGCGGATATTCCTGCTAGATTTGTCCAAAAATAGAGCTTGTTTTAGTATTTTAGGATACGAACGAAATCCGTATTTCTTCCGGAGTGTAACAAAAAACTTTATAATGACGGTTAGAACTTCCTTTTTCAATATTTGTGCAACTTTATCTCAACCCGCAAGTTGCACTGTGACGCAAATCCGTCCTCATGCTTATGATAAAGAGGAAATCAATTTCATAAAAAGAAAACAAAAATAACCACAAAAGCTTTACTTCACACATATCTAAAGCCTGTAATACGTCAATAAATAAACTCATAACATCTTCATGAATATTTCATGAAGAATATTTAATTTTTACATCGATGGATAATCTTTAAAAAACAATAAAACAGTAATAAAAGTAATAGAAATAAACATCTAAAAATCGGTAGCATGCTTATTTATTACACCTTTATATATAAATGCGTTCATTAATTGGTGGATTAATTGTAGCCTAACAGTTGTCATAGTCATAGTTGGTATGAAACCTACGCATAAACATGCGTGAAACGTACTTCATAAACATCTTACACGTCTTTCTTTCTTTTTTGTTTTTTTTTGTGTTTTTATATTTTGTCTTTCTCTTCTACCAAAAAAATAATTTCAAGTCAGCAAAATGTGTAGATTAAAGTAGAAGAATTTTATTTAGCTAGGCCTACATTTTTGTTTAGATTCGAAATTAAAAGTTACGGTATTCATTTATGTAAATATATTTTGTTATATTTTTAATTAAAGGATTATAAAATGATTTTCATTACGCTATTATGAACCGAAAAAGATAACATATTGGTTATGATAAGGCTTTTAACCTCAGCCGTCTAAAACCGTTATTCCCCATCCCGTTTTAGTAATCGTCTCTGTTTATTGCCTTCATTAGCGCTGATTTATTTCCTAAGTGTTCTGCGACTCTGGCGGCTTCCTACCGCAGTGTGTCTCAGAAACATTTTTTCCGGGTTAAATTTAGCAATGAAACGTACCGTTTGCCCTCGATCAAGCAGACGAAACAATTTAGGGAAAAGGATGTAGAGGAACACAGCATGCGTACGCGCTTCGGCTATTTCAGGTGCTGATGAGCTCAATGTAGGGAATTTTAAAACGATCCCGTTCGGCTGCGGAATGCCCCCCAAGTGCGTTTACCTGGTGGTTGTTTATTAGCAGTGAGCACGCAGGAAGGAGTTCATATAAAATTATTTATTTATAATGTTATTATTTATTTGGTCTGTAAATAAGACTTATTCTTCTGGACAATTATTGACAATGTGAGATGCTTTTATATTTTTATTTATCGCAATTAAAAGATTAATTTATGGGAATTACATTTAAATAAAACATTTCCCCTTTATTTTACATGTTTATATAATGATAAATATAAGCTGTATTCAGTTATGTTAAGGCCTGTTTAAAAGATGCATTCAAATACAAAATCTGAAATTCCTTTGCTGCAGTTCTTTGCTCATATTAATTCTAAATCGCATGCAGTTAAAAGCAGGACCAGTTTACAGGACCAAAAGACGAACCAGGATGAATAAAAATGCTAATATTCTGATGATATATTTTCCCGGACAAAATGCTATGAAACCTCACACCTCATCCTAAACCCCTAAAAACAAACACAAACATAAATATCTTTAAACCGTCGAAAAACTGTCATCCGTCTTCTCTAGGTTATTGAATAAGACATTAGTGAAGCGGATCAGAGCTGCCAGTACCAGTTGAATAAAGTCACCTGTCTCCAAACGGGACGGTATACTGGGCCCCAGACCGCGCGGGGCGCCTAAACTGCATTTACGTAAAGCGCTGGATAAAAACGACCATTTTATAGAATAATGATGACGCTACACAGCACTGTCCGTCAAAATCTGTTTATACGGTTTTGATACGGACTGGTTTATTTGGTCTCCCCGGTAACTAATGACTGCAATGAAAATCTAGAAGATAAACACCGTCTCACCGCCGTGCATTTGATATATCTCTTTACAGCCAGTTAAAGGGCGAATCGCACGAACAATGTTCAGCTTGTTCCATAAAATCTGCAGCCCACATGAACCCAAACGTTCATTTAAATGCGAGAGGCTAGCATTCATGTAATAATAATAATAATAATAATAATAATAATAATAATAATAATAATAATAAAATACTCAGTTGCCGTAACCCAATCAATAATGGTTTTAATAAGTGAAACCGTCAAGTTAAAGAAACCGAAGCAGTATCTTATCCTGTCTCCCTCTGGAACGTAACTTGGATACTGTGAAGCAATCCCATTAGTGAACGCAACCCCGTGCTCCCTGCTGCAGCGCGGAGAGCTGGGCCAGGATTACTATTTCTGGCGAAATTTCCCTAGGAAGGAACTTTCGCAGATTTAATGGGACCGAGCTTTTGTAAGTTGCCTTCTGTATGGCGCAGCGCCATTATCCCGCGGTTATTCGGCACTCAAGGAGCCGGAGCTTGTTGGAAACCGGACTAATATAATATACAAGAATGTTACGAAATAATACAAGAAACATAATTTGGGTAAAATGGACATAACTGTGGTTAACCGCACATTACTACCAACAAGAATCTGTATTGTTCTGGATCTATAGTAACGAGGTATTGTGGTTCTAAGGTAGCCTACTACACGGTAGCCGTGGTCAAGATGTAAGGTGACCGTATTTTGCTGTGCAGAAAGGAGGGCACTGGGGCAGGAGACGAAGAGAGGCAACGCATACATGCACACAGACTGTATTCTGACTGTAGAAAGCAAATGTCCATGAAACAAAGCGAACGGATATTTCAGACATATTAGGTGCCAAAATAGAACGTATGGTCACCATATTAAATGGTACAATAAAAAATGCGTATACATGCAGGTTGTGAAGGAGAGTAGTAGGGCTAAGAGTTCTTGATGGCCTTTTCTCTGCTGCCTCGGTCTGCAGCTGTCTTTACTGTTATCGTATCACTCATTCTTCCAGTAACATTTCAAGTGCTGCTGTAAGTATTGACGAAAGAAGCGGATTAAATGCGCTCCAGGGGAAGTAACCGGCTTTTTATATGTATAATGTGGTCTGAGCAGAACATGGCGGCCAAAAAATTAATAAACATATCATAAATGAGTTGTAGTGTTTTATTTTCATACAATGACAGCGGTCATAAATATTAACCGTGTTGGTTTATGGGATTTCCTATTTACAACTGGTCTGCTGCTAGAGCAAAAGATTTCTTAATCGAGATGTCTTTTCTTTAAGGCCGGGGAATTAAGAAATTGGATGACCAAAGGTTTATGCTGAAGTCACAGGACGGTGTAAAAGGAGCCGGAGATGAGGGGACTTTTTTTATGAGACGAGCGCCCCCCCATGTGTGACGGCACTGTTTTCAGCTGCATGCGCGGTCCTGTGAGGGCCAGCTGTTTGTTATTTTATCTAGATATTTTGAGCTCTCCGTGTTGACCCAGAGGCAGAAGCACAGCCAACTGTGGTCCTCAGACACAGACAGGCCCGAAGCCCCTACTGCGCGTCATGAGACACGCAGGTCTCCCTATACAGGAAATATATGAAATAAATAAAGGAACGTAATTCTGTTATGCTAATCATGGGAAAATATGAGGGCTTCGCGATTTGTTTGTTTGTTCGTTTGCTTTCTATCCCAACTGCTGTAAAAGGTGAAGAATGATTTATGTAGTATGTAATAAATAAACATGAACTAAACCTGTATGTGTACACAGATGTATGTATTGACTATATGTGTGTGTGTGTGTGTGTGTGTGTGTGCCTATATATATATATATATATAAATAGAGGCGACTTTGTATTGGAAGATAAATGGATATTCATCATAATTATGCGTGTTTGTATAAATATATACATATTTCTGAAGGAGGAACAGCTACACACAGCATACACGGTGTCTAGGAGTTCAGCCGGTTCAGCTGAGAGCACTTGGTCACACCTATCGTTAGACATCTTCATCACAGACTTGGATTCGCCAGCAGTCGAGGTTATAGCCCAGGCTTTAAACCATTTATTTCAAGGACTCATAAAAGTGTATTTGTCTTATCCCTTCTCTGAAAATAGAGATATTCACTAAAGTTAAACGCTGGAAAAGGACACCGACCACAACCTCTCTCGGCTACCCTCTCATTTGAAGAGTCTAATGGTTTCTAAATGGGGCGTTTTTGATATAATGCCATTCCGATTCTGCATTAACGGATTTTTTGTTTACACAAAAACAGCCTCGGCTCAGATTAAAGCCGTTTGCCGGGACGCTGCTGCGGGGTTACGGCCACTAATTACACTCTGGGTCAATGTACACAGGGCTGAGTCTAATTTACTGAGTGTCCGTGGCCACCGTACAGAGTACGAAAAGCCAAATGGAAACACAAAGGTCATCATAACAAACTGTTGCTGTTTCTTCTCTCTGAGTCCTGGCAGCCGTCCCGCTAAGTTACGGCCGAGCCTCTGTTATGGCACCCCTGTGACAAAGCCTACATTTGGTAAGCACCGCGGACCCCGGGCCGTGTTGATCGATTGCTCGCCTGTTTACTGCAAACCCTTCGCTGCTGAGGGAGTCCAGAGCCTCTCGGCCGGGGCAGCCACACAGCTGTCGCTCTTTCTCCGGGGCTTGAATCTCTAACCACAATTAATTGCGGTAATAATATGCCACAATGGAAACAAATTAGCAGGTGGGAAATCTGAACACCAGAACGTAACGGGAGGGCTGTGATGTAGCAGGTGTCCGACAACTTGGCATAATGACGGACAAGTTAAATATTATCGTTTTTTATTTCATTTTTTAAGCAATTAAACGGTTTGAAATGAGACAAGGAGAGTGAGAGGGGTTAGGAGAGAGGGGAATAAGGGTCCTTTTCAAAACAGCTCATCGAAACAAGTAGGCATTTATAACGTCACATTTTTATGGGAAACTGATTCAACCACTGTACCGTACCCAGTTTTATATTTTGTGTTAATTTTAACCACCAGGCAGAGATAGATAAAAATAAGTTAAAAAATGTAAGTGCTTAACCAAAGAATAACATGCATGTATACGACTGTAGCCGGCAATTTGTCTTGTGACCTCCCCCCCCGCAATAAAAACAAACAAATTTAACTCTTCAGTTTTTTTTTCAGAAAATGAATGCAGAAATTACGTCCATCAGGTTTTTATTTTAGCAGATGATTCATTGTATTCGCTGCTGACACAGCAGAATAATGGCGAGCATTTGTGCATAACACTCACTAGCAAATCATAGCAGAAATCGTGTACCGTGCTGATCAATTTATGAAAAAGTCACGCTAGAATGCAGGCCGATGTAATTGCAAATGAATGCGTTCAGGTTGGTAACTAATGATGTGTTGTAGTGTCGTAGAGAGAGAGAGAGAGAGAGAGAGAGAGAGAGCTGCCCAGTAATACCGCTGTGCCCAGGTGTGTTTCGCTGCTGCAAACAGGTGTTCCGGGCAATTCGGTTTCCCTATGTTTCCCCTGCCTATCAGGAAATAATGTTTCCCCTAATATTAAAGCAAAGAGGTATGTGAAATGTCTGAAAATCACTCAGGTACATTAATTATTACATGTGAATACTGTATTGTTATTAGTACCGAGGCCCAGAGTTGCTGTATACCTGTTTTAACAGGG